TTGCGACTTTGAAGTGGCAATGGGCAGGGCACATAGCTCGTAGGACAGATGGCCGTTGGGGCAGTAAAGTCCTCGAGTGGCGACCACGGACCGGCGCAGCATGGGAAGGCCTCCAGCAAGGTGGACCGACGATCTGGTCAAGATCGCGGGAAGGCATTGGATGCGAGCAGCGCAGGACCGATCGTCGTGGAGATCTTTGGGGGAGGCCTATGTCCAGCAGTGGACGTCTTCCGGGCTGCGATGATGATGATGATGATGAAAATATAAAATAGTTGTGTTGCCGGTCCAGTAACACCTTCAATTATTCGAGTTATCCATTCGTAGTATTTTAATATATTTTGCGAAATGCAGAGGAGTACAGACCGATTGCGAACGTCCGACACTAATGAATTGTTACGACACTACCAAGGCTGCGTACTCTTGAAGAGGTAGGTATACATTTACATAAAAACCTAAACAAAATATTGACTTTTGTATTTATATATCTACTACTGGTTGTAGCTATTTTTAAAGCCTTTAAATGAAGATGTAAGAAAGAGCGTTAAAACCAAGATTTCGGATTCTGATCAAAAAAGGAAAAATTGAGATTAATGTCATATAACATTATATACTGTTTTAAGTTATATTAAGTTATTAGTTACAATATACTGTTGATGATACAAAAATTCAAAATTCAAAAAATTCACTACTATATATATACTAATATACTATTGGTAAGGTTTTAAAATTGGGTCACTTAGTGCCAGTAATTAACAGTAAGAACCATTTTAAGTTTGACGCGGTTATTATCTAAAAGTATAACTGGTAAATCATGGGACCTTACCACGTTTTATTTGTAATTAGATCCCGATATTTTAGTTGCGTTTAAACCGCCATGATCATGGGTAAACTGAAGAGCAGCGAGTAGATGGTAAATAAATCTTTTATGGGCAGACATATTCGTCTACCTTCCACCTCTTCGTTTGTTGCTACTATTGAAACTACCTCGATATTCATATCCGGAACTCAACTAAAATAAAACGTGGTAACTTCCCGTGATTTACTAATTATACATATAACATTATTCAAATGCAAACTAATAAATCGACTATCACTTTGTAATTTTTACAATGTCCATGAATATTTAAGTAAAACGAATACTCATATAATTTGCATGCCTATATGTTAAACTAGCTGTGCCCGCGGTGTTACCTGGGTGAAATTTACAGCCTACATGCCATTCTGGTGTATAAGCTATATTACTGTTAAGTTTCATCAAAATCCGTTCTGTAGTTTTTGCGTGAAAGAGTAACAAACATCCATCCATACTGACAAATTTTCGCGTTTATAATATAAGTGATAATGTGATATTGCTGATCAATATTTCATGTAACATCATATCTGCTATAAGAAATATCAACTCTATGTACTAGTAAAAGTACGTATTATAATAAAATAACAACTATATAGCATTAATTTAACTATGTCTCTAACACAATTCACTTTGGCATTTAAAATACAACCAGCACATCATAGTTGGGTCGTATATTTATTTGTCGACGATGTTGTACATACATATATGTGTAATCTAAGTAAATGAAGCGGCTGAAAAAGCCAAAATATGTAAATACAGGGGTCTAGGCTCCGAATATGAATTTGTCCCATTCGGTGTCGAGACCCTTGGTCCGTGGGGTCCTAGCGCTATAAGACTTTTCAAAGAAATAACGAAAAGGTTAGTCGACATCACAGAAGACCGAAGAGCTGGCAGCTACCTTGGACAAAGAATTAGTCTAGCTATTCAAAGAGCACTACCAGTATCTTCGGAACGTTGCCTAAAGGGACCCCTTTTAATAATATATTTTAGTCATCATATTATATATTTTTTTAAGCTTTTTAATTTTAGGTTCTTAGTTGTACAATTAGGTTATGTAAATACTAGAAATAAATATTGGTTAATACCATCTAAGTAAATTAAATAAACAACAAAATAACTGTAAATTAATATTAATAATTCAAATATTAATATAATAATTTAAAATTCAATTTATACCTGCATTATCATTATAACATTAAGTAGGTTTTGAATTTTCCATGTAACAGATCATTGTACATTTAAATATTATATATAACACCATAAACAGGATAAAATATAAATAATTTTCTGTATATTTATCAAATATGAATACTAAATTGTGTTATAATATATTATTTCAAATAAACAAACAATTAATTAAGGTATTAATATTTTAAATGTATATTGGGCGTAACAGAGAAGAATAGCAGGTTAACTCCTCGTGGTGAATTCACCAGGAATTCTCCACGATTCCCCATGGCGACAGTTAACAATAATAATGTGATTATCCACCTAGCTGCGTGCCTTTGTTAGCGTGAGAATTAATTTCAATATTTTTTCTAAAAAAGAAGTACCTGAGTTACTCCTTATAACATTAGCTTTCTGCGAGTGAAAGTCTCTTAAAAATCTGTCCAGTCGTTTTAGAATTAGTAAGAACATTTAGACAGACCGAAAGACATTGTTTTAAAGATTATTTTGATGTAAGTACCGCACATACGTTCATATGCAATAAATTAAAAAGCTGTAAATTTGACATTACAAAAAACTCTACTATTTTTTTTTATATATTATTTTGCACGTATGTGGAAGCCTAGTTTAAGAATCTGGGAATCGTCTAATTTGCCATTGCAATAAAAAAACGAACGAAACTGTAATTGAATTTGAAAGTCTTCCATTTAAAAGTAAAGAATCGGTTCTAAATTCAACGCACACGGACTCTGAAGAATGTCCCACTGATACCTCTGCTTAACCTCATTGATTGACACGACCAAATCGATCAATAATTAATTACGACAAAACAGCTGACTTGTAAATCTAATTAACTAATTACACAAACGTTTTACAATTTGCAACATTTAACTTAATCCGTTTGATAACTTGCCGAAGTTAATTGCGAAATTGTGTTAATCTTGATTGATATTGAACGTAATATTAAATATATTAAAATGGAATTAATTACTTTAACTGTTGAATTATTGCATGAGTATCTAATATGTAATTTTTTTATAATAACCAACAAGGAGACGCCTTATACGTAAGTGGTAACTGTCGCCTGTGTAAATGAACAGCACTTCGGAGCGATCCCCGCCCAATTCAAACGGAGATCGAAATTACGACGCCCTGAGCCGGGGTTTGAATCCCTACCGGTGCACTCGGACTAAAGTCGAATCCGTCAGGAGGGAGTTGGCCTTCAGCCACTCCCTAAGTCTTTCCTATAGTTTGGAGTGTCATCAGCACTCGCCCCTATCATCGGGTGAAGCTGTAAAGGCCAGCTGCGACAGTAGTAGAAGTTCGAGTCTAAAAATCTTGCTATAGAGTATGATATGTATGTGTGTAATATGAGGTGACTGACATAGTGATCTATCAACGCACAGCCCAAACCACTGGACGGATCGGGCTGAAATTTGGCATGCAGGTAGATGTTATGACGTAGGCATCCGCTAAGAAAGGATTTTGATTAATTCCAATGGGATAAAATAGGGGTTGAAAGTTTGTATGACACTTTGTCAAATTTAAACCGATCGGGCTGAGAATTTGCATGCATAAAGCTACTATGACGTAGGCATCCCCTAAGAAAGGATTTTGATAAATTCCACCCCTAAGGGGATAAATTAACGCGAGCGAAGCCGCGGGCAAAAGCTAGTTATAAATAGGATTCTTATATCCTTTCCGCAAACCGCCACGTTATCAATAATATTCATACACTACGTCACTGTATAATCTTTATCAATTAATTTAAGATAAATACCATTATTTACATTATTATCACTTTTAGTATCTAATATGTTAAAACGGTATGTGACCGTAGTCACGTAATTTTTTTTATTGTTTTATGACCATTATTAGGCTACTCTGGTAAGATTTCAGAGGAATTTCTTTTGTCAATAGAGATTTTCGCAATAAATAATCTTTATATATAAAAATCACGTGTCACGTTGTTTGTCCGCGATGGGCTCCGAAACTACTGAACCGATTGCAAATTTGATTTGCACATTGTGTGCAATTTGATCCAACTTGAATGATAGGATAGCTTACATCTCAATTTATAGTCGCAATATTATTTTATTCAAGAACCTTAGCCATAGCAACGCGTGGCTGGCCATAATAATCGCAAGTGGTTGAAAAAAACACCAACTGGCATGCTTGTGACAGTGTGACCTGAGAAATGAGTTGGGCCGTTTTGGACGCAGCTTATTTGAGCCAGTAGATATGGATTCCTATGTTCCTAATCTTGCAGTAAGTACTACGGAACATCTACAGAAAAGGAGCACGGAAACCGTTCGAAGACTTAAGTAATAAGTAAAAAAAGACGTTCTCATCATCATCATCATCATCATCGCAGCCCGGAAGACGTCCACTGCTGGACATAGGCCTCCCCCAAAGATCTCCACGACGATCGGTCCTGCGCTGCTCCCATAGTAGATGAAAATTCCTAGGGAGAGTTGCAGCACTGATACTTAACAAAATTGAAAGTCAACGGCAAAACGAATCTGGCAAAAGTGGTCGAATCTTGTTCTGCTAGTTGTAATATATAATTACATTGACGTCTTCGATGGCTGGTTTAGACATGACCTTACTTTCGATGGTCGCGGCCCAAAATTCGGTCCAAATTGTATTTTTACTTCGGCCCCTTTTACGAGAACTTTTCGTCTTTCGTTTTTGACTCACAGAATCTAAACAAAGGAATTGCTTTTTAACCAATTTTCATAACTACATCATTGTGATAGATGGATTTTACATTTTTTTTATTGGGGTTGTTTGGGCTATTGTCAGGTGCTTGGACCTGTAGCACTGCGACCTACATAGATCTATTGTGCTCGCTCTTTTTCAGATTTCACTACCTAGACTTGGGTCTAGGTAACACTTTATATATTATTATGACAGAAGATTAATTTCGGACCATAGAATACTTAAAAAAAGATATACATAAAATAAAACAAAAACTCACCCTGCACAAAGCGACGCCCGTGTCCAGTCTATCCAAAAAGTTGTCAGCATTGATCCGGAGTTCCGGGTAGAGGACCGTCATCCATTCAGCGAGGTCCTCCTTCATAGCATATAGGTACTCCTCCGAGGAGCGGAACGGTCTGAATGACCGCGCCTCCAAAAGCACTGCACCTACACACGCCATGTTCGAACTATATGGACATCACTGGGTCTGTAACAAACATTTATACATGATTATCATATAGTAATGATGAATTTAAAAGAGGCTGTCGAAGGTATAGAAGTTTTCTACCGCATTTTGCACTCAAAATATTTTTGTGCTAACTGACCTGGCCTCATGTTCATCTTATCATCCTCCACTAGTGCCCCGCCAGCGTAAACCGTTAGAGCAGGCGGGTGCACCATTCCAATATAATGTTTTAAAAAAAACCAAAACCTCGTGTTGTGACTCTACACCCTGTAATTTCACTGTCATATCTCACTTTACAACTGAAAGTTAACAAACCTATTTGATACCTGAAATAAGTGAGAGAAAGGTACCCCACGCATACGATAAATGATTAATTATAATGATGATTAATTTGTATAATGAATTTGAAATAGATAAATTGATAATTAACAATTGTTTGTCACAAATTACTTAGAAATATATTAGACTACCTACTCGCCCCGGCTTCGCACGGGTGTACATGTATTATACATATAAATCTTCCTCTTGAATCACTCTATCTATAAAAAAACCGCATCAAAATCCTTTTAAGTTTTAAAGATTTAAGCATACATAGGATAGCATACAAACAGCGACAGCGACTTTTGTTTTATACTATGTAATGATTTAGGACGTCCTAGGACAGTACAAAAACTAGGACATGTCCTTATAAAACAGGATAGTTGGTAACCCTAATTGATTGTAACCTGATATGCCGATCTTATAACATACAGTCTCGCCAATTAAATGGGTAATTTAAACAAATCAAGACTGTCTGGTATAGCATTAGTACTTGTTGAGTTTTATAAAGAAAATATTTGTTTAAATTGATACGTATATAGTCTCAATGGTGTAGTGAGTTAGCACAATCCTTTACATCCGATAGTTGCTGGTTCGATATCCTGTACAGTACAAACATTTGTATTTCATGAGTGTGATGGTTTATATTCATCTGCGTGTTTTCTATATATTTATAACATGTATGTATTTCTACTTGACTGACTCAGACAGTTGTCAAGAGGAAGGTTTATATATATAATACATGTACACCCATGCGAAGTCTATATAATAGTATGAAATTTAAGATTGTCTGTGTATTCCTATTTCTTTAACTTCTACTGTGGTAGAGTTTCTACAAAGTAATTTCTGTGAGTACTTTTGTCTCTATTTCAGCCACCAAACAACATCTCTTATAAGTTATCTTTTTTTTTTATTGGATTGTTTTGGCTATTGTCTGATGTTTATAGCACCTGTAGCACTGCGACCTACATAGACCTATTGTGCTCGCCCTTTTCAAAGTTCGCTACCTAGACCCGTCAGGGACAAGAATTGAAGGCTATTCTTAGGAGCGATGGTTTTTATCTCCTCGGGAATTATTGTAAACTTTCCAAAGGTGATATTTCATTTATGCACGACTGGGCTATAAGCTATCTTTCAGTTGAAGAGTCTGAGAACTTTCAGGCTACGAAGTTATAATATATACTTATTTATTTATTAAAATTTTAAAGCCTAAATACATAAATAAAACTGCACATGGCGGTCTTCACTCCTTGAGGCATATCCATATACACTTAATATCCACATTTTAAATATATATGGGCAAATTAATCGAATTAGGTATTATTTTGCGTAACTCCATTTCACTACATAATCGATTTATATTAATTTGTTTAATTCCGCTACAATTATCATGTGTGTCTCACACATGATAATATCCACAAATATCCAGTGTGGAAACTTGACTACCGTTACGACCTTCTCTCTCTCAAATTCCGACCGTTATTGAATCTACACCCATGTTGCGACACGTGTTTCGCCGCTGAACGATGCATCATCACGCGTTGAATAGAGTTCGGATATAGCTTGAAAACCTAGTGTTGACTGTTCGGCGGTTTATCTCACACATGATTATTGTAGCGGAATTAAACAAAGCAATATAAATCAATTAAGTAGTGATACCAGGGGCATCACTTGATATCGTGATAGACATAATTTCAGTATGTAACGACCAATGTACATATTTTTTTATCGTATTCTTATATCCGATATTAATACACGATAAAAAATGTTTTTATTACAATATGATATAACGTATATATCATATTATAACAAAAATCATTTTTTACTATAAAAAAACGTCGTGGAATCAAGCAGTGATTTTGTTTAATGAGGCGTGTCGCCTCGGTGCACTCATGCGAATGGTTTTTTATATAGTAAATATGTAATACATATTAACTTATATCTTTTGTTTAGATCACATAAAATAAATAAAAAAGTCAGTATTAGTGGCACTTGACAACTTATGACAGCTGTATGGGTTTGATCCATTGACCGTTTTCATATCTATATAGTTTAAAAAACAATATCACTGTACGCGTTTGTCTCCGCTTATTAGAATCAATTATATATGTGTATGTATATATAGGTTTTTCATTTATTTAGATATTTCTTGTCTATAGTAATTAAATAGCGGCAACTTTTGAGCAGTAGATAGGTCCTATGCTAGTTAGCCACCATCGTAGTATAAAAAAATGTTATGTATATACTGCAAAAAACTAATAGATCATAACAACAAATACGAATAACATAAAATGCCACAAAAGATTTCAGTTTGGTAAAATGTCCTCCATAAATTATATCTTAAAATTGGAATTCTTGGTTTAAATAGCAGTACATAAAATTTCATATTAAATTTGTAACCGCAGAGTGATTTGTTAGTGCAGTGACTTGAGATGAGAATCGAATCTAAAAACGTTTTCTATCTGACAATTTGCACAGATACTCACAAAAATTATAACTATAAAGAGAACATCACTAGAACTGGCGTATTAAAAAGGCACAAGGTAAACATAAGGCAAATGCACTCTCAAGCTGATGCCATAATACAAAATCTGCTTTCAACTGGTCCTAATTCCATTGCAATAATTAAAATTCAGTTGAATTGTTGCTTCAACATTTATTACGCATGATCTAGTTTACAGAATGCGCGCCAAAATCACGTACTAAAAATAAACAGGTGAATTGAATTTCGAAGAATAAAACATTGACCTCAGGCTGAATGTGTGTCAAATTCTACCACAGAGTAAATAAACAGAATACTTTAAGAGTCGGCGCTGCCCTTATGCGAATGTCTAAATTGAATTAGTGCGACCGTAGTGTTGGAATGATATTTAAAAAGAAAGTGCTTACATAGATTCATACAAAAATTGTTCTATGTCACACGAGTCTGAATGCTACAGTTATTGAGCAAATAATCACTATGTTTGTTTAAATAATTAATATTTAATAAATTATTTTATTTATTCCATTTTAGTATACACAATTATACATGTATAATTGTGTATACAATATTTATTATTAGTCCTAATCCTATATCAAATTCCGTATTTTTAGATCAACCTTTCTAAATTTATATTTATTTATTTGTTCATTGCATTCCATTCCATAGTATACCATAGATATTTATTAGGTTAACATTCAGCAGATCAATCATATAGACTCTATTGATTACAGCAAGCAGAAGAGAAGAGATGAGAACGAGTTTGTTGTTTGCTTTATAATTTTAAAATTATATAAAAAAAATATTGTGTATTATAAAACACGTAATTATTTTATTTAATTGTATCAATATGTATTTGATTAATAAATATATACAATATTTTATTAAATATGTCATTAATATAGTCAGAAACAGTTTAGTAATATTTTGTAATTAATATTATATTTTCTTTCGGCTTTTAACGAATGTAGTTAATGTTTGTTAATGGAACTTGTTGTTAACGAAATGGTAGTAAGTAAAGTTTCTACTATATTTAAACAACCATTTAAGGATTTGTCACTACTCTAATGAGAACGAAACCTAAATTGAAAATATACAGCCATCATTTAAAAAAAAGTGGAGTAACCGAAATTCAATCTATACAGCTATCCATAATGTTGAAATATTAAAGAAAAAAATTACACAGTTTCATGTAAAAATTATATTGCATTCAGTGACGCAGCGCTGGCTGACCAAATTACGATTCTATAGAATCCTTGTGACGCAAAGTATCCAATCCACTGGCATCCACGAAATTGTATAGAGCGCAGTCATTAATGGAATTTTTGATTGCGTCATACCATTATGACAGAACTGTACCTATACGGAATGACGAAACAATATATTTTTGTATCATACATGTATTAGTAACCTTAGTGAACGAGGTTCAAGATATTATCAACTTACGTTTTCTAAAAATAAATGTATTTTTTCTGAATACTATATTTTTTTTTGAGGATTATAATGTAATGGTGCACCCGCGGTTCAGGATATTATTAACTTACGTGCACTTAATAAAATGCAATATATCTAAATACTATTTTTTTTTGAGGATTATAATGTAATGGTGCACCCGCGGTTCAGGATATTATTAACTTACGTTTACTTAATAAAATGCAATATATTTAAATACTATATTTTTTTTAGGATTATAATGTAATGGTGCACCCGCCTGGCGCTAACGGTTTTCGTTACCGGGGCACCAGAGAATAATAAGATAGGGTGAGGTCAGGTCAGTTGGTCCATCATGACAAATTCACTAGGAATTTATCACGATGGTTTCCAGGAGGAACCGCGTGAAGGTTGACCTAACATGGTACATTGCTAGCCCTTTCCCCCCTGCGGCTCTATATTAGACAGGTACAGTTGAACATATTAGACGCTTCAAATGTTCAAATTAGTAAACATGATTCTTACTTATCTACACATATAAATAAAATTGGAGTGTCTGTTTGTAATATTGAAATAACCATTTTTTACTACACCCATATGTATACAAAGACTACACATGCACCAAAATAACATCTTTTACAATTTTTGTCTGTGTTCGAGTCAAAATAGTTTTATACTAGTACAACTAGATGGCGCTGTATTTTTGCATACATATTTATAAAACACGCTAATAAGATATTTTTGTTATTCCTTATATAGATATGTAATTTTTTATTTAGGCACTAAAGTCGTA